ATTGAGAGCCAGTGGTTGACGTGCATTTATATATATACATAAAATGAAATGCCCTAGGAACCAGGACACTTGGCTAAACATATACTTGCAGGTTGTATTCTGTAGAATTTGGAGGTGGGAGGAATTTCACATTCTGACAGACCTGCACATTTCCCTGAGTTTGACTCTAGGTTCATCAGTGGTAAAAGTGCTAAGGAAAAAGAAAAAAAACCATGTCCTCTTAGAATCAGTTGGGGAATGAAGAGAAAAAGTGCCTGCAGCTTTAAAAGGCAGCGCTGTGTGTGGTTACATAAAATCCGCAGCCACCCCAGCCTGCACATCATTATGCTGCTGGCCCCACGCAGCTCTGAAGGCGCAGACAGTGCTTCTTACCAAATGTCTCTGGCTCCAGACAACAGAACTGCAAAGTGATGTTGCTGCTGAAAATTCGATGACTCAGAAGTGAGTCAACAGGGAACATTGCGCTGTAGCCACTCACAGCCCCCAGGGCTGCAGAAGCAGGGAGGGCTGTTAGGTCCCTGGTCCGCTTTCCATCAGGACCTGTCTCCCTGTAACAGAGAGACTGCCTGCCTGGCTTCCTTGCAATGAAAACTGCCAGGGTTGAAGTTCATTTACTGAGACCCTGCAATCCCCCAAATTGAATGTGTTTCAGAGTGCACACTGATCATAAATTTCCCGCCTGTTGAAGCTCTGCTGGACCTTAATATATTTTTGAGATGCGAAAGGAAGACCATTGTGCTTCCTAATTCTGTGGCAGAACTGGTGTGTCTTTCTTTCTTTTTTTTTTAATCTTACTTAAAAATCAATGTGAGTTTATAAACAGAAGCCACAGCACACAGTCTTGAACAGAATTGTCTTCGTGGTAGAAAGATACAATATTGATTTTCTTCTATATTGAAGCCAGATTCATATATTAAAAGTTGTGTGCTTAGGACTCACAATTCAGGTTTCGTTAGTTAAGAATTCTAGGGGGCCTGGCTTGAAGTTTACTGCCAACCTGTTTGTGAAGCAGGGTTTGTTAAGCACAGTCTCAAGAGTATGAGAGATTAAGGGCAGAATGCTTAAAACAGCTAACTGTATTAGGAGCTCTGATTCCCACATAAAAAATTATGTTATTTATAAATAGAACTTTCTATTCATTAAATAGGCTTTCCAATAACCTGTGTGAGCTTTTTAAGGTAGAGCATTACATTCCACTTATTCTATGTAATTAACCAGAAAAACCATGGGGCTTAAGACATATGAGTAATTCACAATGGCCTATTTAATTAACCCTAATTAGTGATTTTTTTCTATGTTTAGAAAAGATTTTTGTTGTTGCAGTATACAAGTGCCAAAATAGAGAGGCTCCTGAGTGTTCATTACCAAGGTGTGGGTAGGAAGGCCTTCTCCAGGAACCTATATCTGATCTCTTCTTGTAAGTGTAGGAAATTCTAACATTCCAAAAGAGAAGTGAATGGAGAAAGATTGACTCCTCCTAAAGGCACTCACAAATGAATGATGTGTAAGCCCTAATGCCAACTTTCACTTGCTAAGTAGATCTAAGTAGGTCAGTTAATGCATTTTCCTTAAATGATTATCTATATCAAAAGTTAAATTATAATAAGAACTGGTGTAGAATAGGCTTAGTCAGGAAATTAGATGACATTTCCCTTTTAAGGATGTACTGTAGTATTTTTTGAAGAAGACTGGTGTACTGTATTAGTCCACTTTTCTGTTGCTGGGACAAAATACCTGATATATACAGTGTAAGGGAGAAATATTTATTGTGGCTCACGGTTCCAGAGGTATCAGTCCATGATCAGAAGCTTCGTGAAGGGGAAATTTTCTAACCTTATGGTGGCTAGAAGCAGAGAGAGCATGAAAGATACCAGAGAGAGAGAGAGAGAGAGAGAGAGAGAGAGAGAGAGAGACAGAGACAGAGACAGAGAGACAGAGACAGAGACAGAGAGAGATTGAAGGTAATTTTTGGGACCGGATATTACCACCTTTATAGGCCATGCTTCTAGTGAACCATTTCCAAGCAGCCCCACCTAACAGCATATCCAGCTGTGAACTAACTCATCGATGCATTAATTCACTGATTAGTGTAACACCCCTGTGATCCAGTCACTATCCCAAAGCCCTGCATCTGGACACATGAGACTTTTGGGGGACAGTTTGATCCAAACCATAGCAGGTGATTTTTTCCAAACCAATACTTCATTCACGTACATTAGTCAGTTCTGGGAGAGACTGAAGTTCTTGCTCATGAATATGTACTTAGGTTACATACCGATCCTCCATTTGTAAAGCCTTTTTAAAACCTGCTTCAGTGTAAGTAATATGATTTTATTCTTCCGAGCTAAAGTCATATCTTAATTGTACCTTTCCAATACTCTACTAAAGGCACTTATGCCTTGCTATGGCTTGAGTGTATCTCCCAAATTTCATATGTGGAAGCTTGTTCCCAAGTACAGCAGGGTTGAGATGTGGGACCTTTTGCAAGGTGGCTGGAGCATGAGGACTCTGTCCCATGAGTGGATTAATGGATTTGTGGGATAGTGCAGCAGTGACTTTGTTCCAAAAGCCAGTGCTCTCTGACCCCTGACACGTGATGCCAGCGGTCCAGCCACATGATGCCCTCCACCTCCTGAGGTGCCAGAATCACGTTGTTGGACCTCCAGTCTCCACAGCTGTGACCTAGTAAATCTCTATTTTTATAAGTTACCCAGTCTCTGATGTTCAGTTATACAACAGAAAACCGACTAAGACATGCCAAATGCCACTGTCTACATAGTAAAAAAATCCTATGAGTCTGTCTACATCTGACTGATCTTGTCCATAATTTCTATGTTCTTATATCCTGAGGCAATTTTCTCTGTTGAGTATTAACAGCACTCATGGTATTGGTGGTTCTTTCTTTTGACAGCAATAGCATTTCAAAATCCCAAAAAGATTTCTTTTATTGTATTTCTTTGCAACTGAAGTCATTTTCACGTTACTAAGGTTATAACTTAGAATAAATTTCCTTTTATGTCTTTTAGAATGATTACTTTCTTTTCTTAAAACTTCTCCTTTCCTTTTTCTGTTTCTGCCTTCTTCTTTAGCATAATCATCTTCAATATCAGATATCTAATTTTTAACCTTGAGAAGGAAATCCTGGTTGTACATGAGCCCTGTGGAAGATAAGATGATGGCTTCTTGCTGCAATGATTTGCTGTCAGATAGCTGTCTAGTTTCCTTGTCCCATTAGATTTCAGACCTTCCAGGAATACTGGTTCTTTGCTATCAGTGTCTTAATATAACACCTAGATTTTCTTGTTGAGCTGCATGATAAAGATCAGTGAAACAGTGGAGTTTCAACTGACTTCCTCCTTCCTTCCTTCCTTCCTTCCTTCCTTCCTTCCTTCCTTCCTTCCTTCCTTCCTTCCTTCTTTCCTTTCTTCCTTTCTTCCTTTCTTCCTTCCACCTATCCACTCTCCTTCTCTGGGTTTTTAAAAATTATGTATATTTAAGGTGTGCTGCATGAGTTAAATGGTTACTGCTGTCAAGCAAATTAACATATCCTTTAGCTCATATAGTCACATTTTTGGTATGTGTGGTAAAAGCACCTAAAATCTACTCTCAGTAAATTTCCAGCATACCAAAACTGTAGCCCTCATGCTGTAGTTATTCACCCTACACAACTGAAACTTTACACCTTTCAAATTCCATCTTCCCATTCCCCACCCTTGCCCTGGTAATCACTGTGCTATTCTTGCCTCTCTCTCACTGCATTTGAGGTTTGTTGTTTGTTTGTTTTTTAAGGTTGCACATATAATTGAGATCATGTAGTTTTTTTGCTGTGTCTGGCATATTTTACTTAGCACAGTGTCTCCTGTGTTTATTCCTGTTGTCACAAATCGCAGAATCTTCCTTTTTTTTTAAGGCTGAATAATATTCCACTGTAGAGGTGTGGCATTCTGATAAACCCATTGGTAGTTGAAAATATCAGCATTTGAAGGTGAATTTAATACTCTTAACCTACCAAACATCATATCTCAGCAGCACAGCATATTAAATTATTGGTTGTTGACCAGTATGATAATCTTGTGGCTGACTGAGGCCTGAGGTTCCCTGTCACTGCCCAGCATTGTAAGAAAGTATCATACTGCATGTTTCTAGCCTAGGCAAAGGTCAAAATTCAAAATTTCAAGTACAATCTCTAAGGTGTGTGTATGGCTTTAGCACTGTCCTAAAGTTGGAAAAGTGTAAGTGAAGCCATTGTAACTTGGGTGTGTGTATATCATGAATTTCTTTACCCGTTCACCCCCTGAGCGTGTATGTTGTTTCTGTGTGATACCACAGTGAACTGGGGGTACAGGTACCTTTAAGAGGTGGTGACTTCATCTCTTTTGGATCCGCACTCCAGGGGGAATTACTGCATCACGTGGCAGTGCTGTTTGTAACTTGTGTGGGAATCTCCACACTCTTCTATGATGCCTGACCGCTCTACATTCCCACCAACAGTGTATTGGGGCTCCCTTTTCTCTAACGCTTGGTCCCTTTGGTCTTTTTGATGATGGCCATCTGAATAGGGGTGAGGTGATTTTTCACTGTGGTTTTGATTTGTGTGTCCCGAATTGGTGATCTTGAGCACTTTTTTGTATGACTTTACTTTGTATACTCTAGAAGATTTAGCACACTATTTTTTCTCTGTATTTCATTTAATTGTTAATAGTCAAAATTACTACTCTGTAAATAAGGACATGAGGAAAGAGAGCACAGTTATTGTGACTGTCAATGGCTTAACAATGTACGTAGATCAAACCACCTCACCCTAAATTATGTGACTTAGCATTCTTGATAATAATTTTCCCAAGGCCTGTTAGGCCTGATCTACTTTTTCTGGGTAATGCAAAATACACATTTCTATTACTCAATGAAGAAGTAACACCTAAAATTAAACCTTGTACCCTGATTACTTGGAGAGTTTAGTGAGAAAACTGATCAAAGTAAATAATTTTGTACATTCTCAGCAGAGAGATGGAGACCTTCCAACTTCAAAGAAAAAACGCCAGGCAGGAGAGAAGATCATGTATACTTTGGTCTCGGTCCCACATGGAAATGACATTGCATCTCTTTTCGAATTGGATGCCACCACTCTTCAGCGAGCTGATTGCTTAGTTCCACGGTAAAAAAAAAATTATGGCTAAAAGATGTTTCTTTGAATAATTATACTAGTAGGTAAAGAATGAAAATCATAATGTTAATATAATTTTTGCAGTATCAAGGGAGTAGAAGTGAAGAAAAAAATGTGTAAACCATTGTGCCTTTTTGTGAGTAGATTAATATCATTTATTTTTTTCTTATAAATAATTAAAATGTACAGGGCCAAAGAAGTTCTGAAAAATTCATAAGAATAGTTTATTCTTTATTCTGTATTGCCTTTGGTTACTAAAATGAAAAATAATCTAAGAGCATCTTAGTAATACTTTTTCATTTACTTTTATTATCTAAGATTCTACACTTTGTTCATTTGTTTATCCATTTGTTCATTTATTTAGTTATTAGGCTAACAAACATTTATTGAACATAGATTATGTCCTGGACATTGCCGTTGGCCTTGGGAAGATGCTAGTGAACAAACAGGTTATATACTTACATTCATATGAGGGAGACAGGTAGTAAACAAACCAGTAAACATAAAATATGTGGTCAATGTACTTTGAAAAAATGCAGGACATGGGGGGTTCTATATATCAGAATCTATGGAAATGGCCGAAGTTAGAAAAGGTGAAAATGAGTTAGGGGTGGAGTTCTCTCCATCAAAGAGTAGCATTTTAAGCAGCAGGGAAAAGAAATAGAAGAATCTTGAAGTTTCTAGGTGATGTTAAAGAAGACCAGTGAGGAAACCATTATAGTAATAAGGCAACCAGGAACCAATGTAAAAGATTATCTTCCATTCTTTTGTTTAAATCTATTTTAGTTAAGCTCTCTTCATTTTTTTTTTTTTTTTTTTGGTTTTTCTCCGGTACCGGGAACTGAACTCACGACCTTGCGCTTGCCAGGCAGGCGCTTTGCTGCTGAGCTAAATCCCCAGCCCCTGCTCTCTTCATTCTCTTAAATGTATGAAGTCTTGCCTGTTAGGTCGGGTGGGATGGTTCTAAATGGTGGGGCAGTGTTGTGCTTGGCCTTGGGCAGTGGTTTGCTGAAGATGCTAGAAATGCAGACACTGCTATGCCTATTCCTTCCGTGGGGAGGGGATAGCTGCTGTACTAACACTGTTGAAAAACATTTCCGGTGTCCCATTCCTAAGGTGTCCCATGGCTCTTCTCATTCATAAGGAATGTCCCTCTTCTCTTCCAGCACTGTAGTTTGTAAAGGGATCCCCTCTGAAAGTTTCACCTGACCCAGGCGGGTCTCTAGCCTTGTCTTCGCAGCACTGGGATCTTAATCTTTACTCTCACTGTACTCATTTTAAATTTTTCAGCAAAAAAAAAAAATGTTTACTGAACATCAATCAAGAGAGTTTGTTTAAGGAGATAATAAAAGAACCTCATTGTGAACTGCATGGATCCATGACAAAGCCCCCGAGCTTAGCTTTGTCTGAAGGTGTTAATCTGAAATTATTTAGAACAGTGGAGGTTTTCAGTGTTATACGGAATTCTGTATTAAGATGGACTCATTTGTCTTTTGTGTTAAAATGAACATTAATTGACACCTAATAATAACTACTAGTGTAGTGAAATTCTTGAGCACTTGCTATTACGTTAAACTCTATGTCAGATTCTTTATAAATATTATATTATTTAATCCTGGTAGCAACCCTTACAGGTTAGATATAAGAGGCTGAGTTAAAACAGTGCTTGTGAAGTTGACAGTACATTAGAATCATTTGGGTCACACATTACAATCACTTGAGCCTTTCCATGCCATGAGCCCATAGTTTTACTTGTGGGTTTTTTTTTTTTTTTTAATCATTACTGAGATGATTTTGTTGTGGAGTCCAATGTTTCTCAGACTCTAAACTCTACCCAATAAAGTTGTAAGCTTTGTATTATACTGAATCAATCATGGAGATTCTGGTAAAAATGCAGCTTGCGATTCATTTGTTCTACAATAAGGACCTGAGAATGTATATTTCTAATAATCCCTTGAGTAAAGCCATTGCTGCAGATATGCAGGTCTCGGGGCCGTGGTGCCCACTGGAGCAGTAGTTCCCAGTCACTCCTGCATATTGGGATACCCTTGGGAATCTTTGATGCCTGGTTTTTGTTCCAGACATTTTGGTCTAAATCGTGTATGATGTAGCCTGGGAGATGGGATTGTAAAAGCTTCCCAGGTGACATAAAGCAGAGTTTGAGATCCAATGATTTAGAGCGACAAAGTAGTTGGCGTGTGTCATGCTCCTGAGGTGGAATTTGATCATGGGGCATGGGAACATTCAGTCTGTGCTCTAAACCTCTGTGCTGCAGTGCCCTCGGATTATGTCAGAATCTTAAAGGCAACAGATCTCCGTGCCACAGGTGCCAAGAGTTATGCAATCTTAGAATCCTTGCAAATTGTAAATTATTATTGTGGAATATAATTCTTAGGTTTGGAATTCCACAGTATGGGTTGACTCAGTATGCATATACAGGTCGAAACTCTCTAATCTGAAAATATCTAAAACATTCCAAAACCTGAAACTTTTTGAGCGCTAACATGACACCATAGTGGAGAATCCCACATTTGACCTCATGTGATGAGTTGCCGTCAAAACGCAGGTAAAAATTTATAAAATTACCTTCAGGCTATATGTCTAAGGTGTATAAAAACATAACTGGATTTCACTCTTAGACGTGGGTTCTATCCCCAAGATATCGTTATGCACCAATTCAGAAACGAAAAGAATCCAAATGCAGAACACTTCCATCCCAAGCATTTGGATCAGGGATACCAAACCTGTATTAAAGAAGGGTAAGGGTAAAATAGTGGAAGCAGCTATGAAATCGATCAGCAAAGACCCCACTTTCTATGTGCTTAAAATAAGGGGGAAAGCAGATAGGTACAAATGCTATCTCCTGTGTAACTTGGCACAAAAGACAATAAATGGTAAAACAGAGAGATTTCTGAATTTGTACAGGATTGGATACATGCCATTTTATATATATATTTTTATTTCTTATTTATTTTTCTGGTACCGGGAATCGAATTCACAACCTTGATCTTTCCAGGCAAGTGCTATGCTGCTGAGCTATATCCCCGGCCCTACATGCCATTTTAGATATTTGAAGCTCACTTTTTCTTTCATCTATTTTTATGAATCATCAGAACCATAATGTTGCGTGAAGCTTTTTCCCTGTGGCCATTGGCATTTGATTTGGTGTCATTTTACTAGTCCTAATATTTTATGTCTTATACTATGACATATTTGTGTTTTATCTTTAAATTGAACTCTAAGCAACTTTCAGGTAGAAAACTTTTCCTTTAGTAGGCACTATGCCCATATTTGTTAAAGAAATAATGGTAATAAAAGATTCAGTAAAAATGATCATATTTGAATTGTGTGAAATTCTAGGTGTCTGTTTCCAGGCTATTCTCTCACAGCTCACATAATTCAGTTTTTGTTTTTCAAGATTCATGGAGTTAGCACATCCTGAATCATTCATTGTTCCTACGGGAAACACAGGGTTAGGTTCCTGTGAGCTTCTGCGCACATTTTTGTCAGTTAGTATGTAACGCTTTTTTTGTGTGTGTGTTTCTCTTTGAAGTCACCCAATTTGCTGTATAGTTTTGATCACTAACATCATACTAATGGTAACAGCACTATAACTCATGCCTGAAAGAAGCTTATCTAGCTTCTTAAATCGTACCCCACCCGTCTTGTCCTTCAGCTCACCAGCTAACAGTTCTAAAATGGGGGGCATTTTAAACACCAAAGTCACCAACAAAATCACAGAAATGTGCAAAGTGTGGCAGTCAGTGTACTCCAAAAAGGATGCTTGTTACAGAATGAAACAAGCTGAACACAAGCTGCAACAAGAGGGCTGAGTGTCACCTTGCTCTGTCTACCTCAGCTTGCAAATGTGCCTATTGAGCAACTCATATTTCTTTCACCTCTGCGTATGTCCCCAAACAACCACAAAAGATGCATGATTTGGGGTTACAAAGGAATTTTTGTAAGTAGGAGGATTTACAAATATGGCGCCCACAATTAATGAGGACTGATTGTGCATACGCCCCCCTGTGGTGATTGGGCTGTGGGGAGGACAGCTGTGAGCGGCAGTCTCAGGCACCCGTTCCCTAGATCATTGTGTTCTCTTCACTGTGTCATAATTGCAAGGTGAGCATTAAACTACTCACTCCTGGGCCCCACTCCTAGACTCTCTGATTCAGTGGCCAGGGATGGGTTTTAGAATCTGCATTTTTGACAAGTTCTGGTGATGCTGAATCTGTTGGTCCCAGGGCTGCCCTTTGAGAACCGCTGGCCTACGTATCGATACTACATGCTTTGACATAGTCTAAATTCAGATTTTTTCTTAAGCCAGACACATCTGAAATCAATTACTAACCTAAGATATATTTATGTTCATATCATGTATTCAACTTAAGTGACTTACTATGTTAAATGTGCTAGATTTTAATAATTCTTTTTGCTTTTAGAAATTCCTACGTTCGGCTAAGGCACTTGTGCACCAACACATGGGTAACTAGTACTAGCATCCCCATAGACACAGATGAAGAGAGGCCTGTTATGTTGAAGGTAAATACTGCTGAGAACGGTTTAATTTTCCACCAAATACTGTGTTTGTGGAATTAGCAGGGGACAGACACACTTGCTACTGTCCAACTTTATGGACATTAGAGATTATTGTAGTTAACGTCACCAAGCATGCATGTCTGCTGGTTGCCCAGATGGCTGAACCTGTACTGGGTGGCTGCAGCAGGGGTGGGAGTCAGAGGGGTGTGGGGTTGCGGAAAGATATCAAAATGAATGGGAGCAGCAAGTGGAAAGAGGACTTGATTCCAGGAGTGTTTCTTCTCTGTTGAAGCTGAAGCACAGAGCAAGTGTGAGAGGAACACATTTCCAGGGGTATTGTGGGGCCAGGGCAGGGAATGGCCATGGAAATCACTGCCCCCTGCAACCTTTCAAAGTGGCTGTGATGTTCATGGGAATTACTGTATTTGGCTGATCTATTTTTGCCTTGTTTTTCCTAAATAGTGCAGAGATGTGTTAGTCCTCAAAGAATATCGTGTAGTTATTTAGCGTAACTAACCTTAATGGAAAAATACCTTTCAGATTGGAACCTGCCAAACAAAAGAAGATAAAGAAGCATTTGCCATTGTGTCCGTCCCACTCTCCGAGGTCCGAGATTTGGACTTTGCTAATGATGCAAATAAAGTGCTAGCGACCACAGTGAAAAAACTGGAAAATGGTACAGTCACTCAGAACGAAAGGAGGTTAGTAACTTTAAAATGACTTTAGTTATCAAGAGTCAATTGTCAGTTTTTCCAGTAAACCTCAAGTAAATGAATGACACTAAAGGAGTACTGAGGACACTCCTGGTAGCAGCACGCTTGCTTGTAAATGAGGTGGAAACTTGATCCTTCTTAATCATGATGAATGAATGAGAATAGAAAAATTAAAATCTGATGGAATATTTACTTTTTCCATTGTAAGTTGGCTTGAAAGTAGTTGTTTTTAGCTACTTTCAAATTTTTTTATTTTAATGCTTCATAGGAAATTCACAGTGGCATTTGCTGCACCTAGTTTGACATTTGGATTCAGAATTCTAAAGCTTCTGAAGGAGATTTTATGTTTTTCTGGGTGTTTTTAATTAATGAAATGTTTCTTAGCTCTGTTGCCACAAAATAAACAAATATGTAGCAGAAAAATATCTGCAGTGTGTAGCTCTTTGCTCTTCTAACTCAGAGAAACTAAACAGACCTTTGATCCTTAAACTTATTTTGGAAATAAATGAGGGAGAGAATGAAATTGATAGTAATCCTATTTTCTGTCGGTATTATGTTAGGCACTAAGAATATATGTTATGTAATTCTTCAAATAACCCTCTGATAGATAATCTCAGTTTACATAAAGGAAAACTGACAGGACACTATCACATAAATGACAAGTGGTTTACAGGCCATATGCTTTCTAGGACATCAGAGTACAGTCATCCTCTTTATTTGCTATACATCTTTTAATTTGAAGGAGTATCAACTCTTTACAACTTCCCAGGCATTCATTGATTTGACGTATTGTTCACAGCTGATGAGATGAGCACTGATGTAAGCTCTTTGAACAAGCTTCGGCAGTAACTAGCGAAGTGAAAGATGCAGGCAGTCCATGACGCAAAGGTCTCCCTGCAAAACTGAACATTCTTGGACGTCGGTCTCAAGCAAGGTCCTTTGTATGTGCACCAGGGCACATGTTCAACAATCTGCAGCCCTGTTTTAAAGACCCCCTAAACTGAAACCATGCCAGTGTCCATCAGCAGTTGAACAGATGATTACAATTACTACATGTTCATACAATGCAATATAGGAGAGCTATGAAAATTGATGAACTACATCTATGTGTAATGACACGATAAACCTAACAAACTTAAATGGAGTGAAGATAGCAAATACATTCGCTGTAATACTACTTGTAAATTCCAAAGCAAGCAAAAATAAACTCTTCCTTTGGGGGTGTTCTATCAATTGCACGAACTGTAGGAAAATCTGAAGAAGTCACTGTCACAAAAACCATAATGGTTATTTCTGCTTAGAGGGGAGGGAGGAGTGATGACTGGGCTGTCATCTGTTGCCTGCTGTGGGGCTTTCATTGTAGTCTTCCTTAATTAAACTTCGATGTTTTAGAAACTTGTAGATATGTATCTTACCATACAGAAGAACAAAAAATTTAACTTGCTTCCTCCCACCCTTATCAATTAAAAAATCAAAATATGCAGATACATGGAATAGCTGGTTCCCGTAGCTGTTTTTACCCGTTTTCCCTTGACAAAGCAACATTTGAGAGCTATCAGGCATTCAATTAAACATCTAATCCTGTGTGGGGGAAATGAATAAAGGCCGGAAGCTGAAGCACTGCCCCACTTTTATGGGCTACCGATAATTAAGCATCAGAGCTACGTTATGACAGGAAATGGATTTCAGTGTGCAGATAGGAATTTTTATTTGCCTGTTATTTAATCTCTCTTGATCAATCTATTTCTGTCTTGTTCTTCTTACATAGGCCCAGAAATTTACTAAGCTTTTATTACACAGCCTCCCATTCTAAAAATGGAGGTATTTGTTGAAGAAAAGAAGAAACAAAAATGCCTATTATGAGTGTTCCACCATGGCTGGCTGCCACTCTGCGCAAGTTGTTACCCAAATTTTCCAGTTACAGTGGAGGGGAGGTTGTCCTCCCAGGATGCTTCAGAGGAGGGTGGTAGGCTAGGACTGACCAGAGACAATGACTTTTTTTTTCTTTTAAACTTCTGCTTCTTTCCCTACTCTTTAGAATGAAAGACATCTCAACCAAGAAATGGTTTTGCTTGAGAAGTATGAAGTTGTAATTATTGATCTTAATTTAGTAATTTCAGGAAAGCCACCCGCCATCAAAATGTAGTCAGAGCTGCCTGTCGGCACAGTAGAGTTTATTGGCATAGTTGAATGCATTTATATTATTTTCTCAGTTTTAGAATTCAATATAAAATTCTTTCAGAAAATAACTGACAGCTCTGACTTTTTTCCTCTGTGAAGAATGAGGTTATTATTAGATATTCTTTTTGCTCAAAGCCAGGGAGAAGGATCGAAGGTCGAAGGGAGAGTGTGAGAATATTGCACAGCTGTCTCCAGTGCCCGTGTGTTCGAACCCTGTCTTTCTTGTTCGTCTCCTTTCACTCAGCCCAGGAACGGACTCTGGAGACCCAGCTGCTGTCTTATGCTCTGAGATGCTCAGCCTTAGATGATTTTCGGTTCAGTTTTCTGATCCCATTTTACATAACTGCACCAGCAAGATGCAGAGTAGTGGGAACACACTGGAGGGGAGGAAGAAAGGGATATGGAGAGATGTTAACTGATATTCAGAGCTCGAGAAATGACACCCGCACTTCTTTACTAGAATGTCTGCACTGTGCTGTGCCTTTTAGGGTACAGGTTTGACCCCCACGGAGTTCCATTGCAGCCGCTCCTGTTGACAGGTGTACTTAATGCAATGTCACTGAGCTCTTGGCGCATGCCAGGCCCCGGGCCGCAGAGCATGTGTTCATGTGATGCTAATGCCGTGGTGAAGGTCCTAGACTAGACCTATGTCCTACAGCCTTGAGGGGTGGTTCTAACTCCCCACGATGAAGCTGAGGTTCTAGAATAGGTGTCGTGCAGCAGGTGAACACCAGGTGAAGTGTCTTTCTGATGTTCTTTTTCGAGCAACATCATTTTTCCTTGAATTTTATTCATCTGATTTTACTGTTGCTATGTGACCTACCTTTTCTTTCGTGTTCACCTGGGCTTGAGATGCGGCTCAGTGGTAGAATGCTTACCTTGAATTCATTCTCCTGGTGCTTCTTTCTAAAACAGTTTCCATGATTTTAGAATTTCTAGTCATTTTGTCTTACGTGTTATGTATTATGTATCCTGGGAGCAGCAGAGCACTGGATTTTAAAACCTCATTCGATAATGTATTTTATTGAGCAAGTTTAATTACTTTGCCTTTGATACATAATATATTGGGACTCGCTCGTATTTCTTCTTCCTTTAGTTTAGCTTTTCCTTCTACTTTTTCTGGCTTTTTGTTTAAGAAAGTTAAGTATTCATCTAATTCCCCACTTTATCTTTTCCACTACTGATTTAGAAACTGTAGGTCGTATTTCTATTACTTTTGGGACTTGGCCTGAAATTATTGATCATACATTTTAACTATATACTCTTTTTCTTTTTTTTTAAACTTGACGTTACTAATATTTCTTTTTCCTCTCATGGGATAAAGATGCCTGAGAATGCATTAATTATGTGCTACTCATCTCCCCATTTTCTCGTTTCAGGTGTCTAGAACCCCAGTCCTATGTTTCTTTTGTAAATTTTTATTATCTATTTGATGTACAACAAAGAATTAAAGCATCATAAATTATGATGCGCCATCTTTTTTTTTACTGAGAAATTTAGTTTCTAAAAATGGTTTCCCAGTGGTCAGTTATATTTTTGAACACAGTTTACGTCTTTCTCTATTTATTTACATTTCTCCTATCTCTCGTCTCCTGGTGCTGACTTCTCTTCAGTCCATTCAGTAGAAGTCTGTGGCCTCTGATCTTTTTTTTCTTAGTTTTTGCATATGTGAGAAATGAGAATGTCTTTTTTTTGCCTCAGTTCTTTTGTTTGTTTTGTTTTGTGTTTTTTGGTGCTGGAGCTCGAACCCAGGGCCACATATATGCTAGGCAATTATTTTCCAATGATTTGATTGCTTTCTGACATTTTTAGTTGCTGTTGAGAAGTTTACTAATAGTTAGTTTATTATAATTATTATTGCTGGGGATGGAAACCAGGGCCTCTCACATGCTAGGCAAAAGTTTTGCCACTGAGCTGCACCCCCAGACTTGCTATTTTTATTGATAATAAAATAAATTTTGGGGATTGTCTCCACTGGTGCTCCTTAACTAGTCGAGGGCCAGATCTGATATATGTATGTCTTTTATTTTAAGGGAAAAAGAACAAAAACCAAATAACAAAAACAAAGACAAAAACAAAACGACACAAAAACTATAAAAATGATACAGAATTTCAAAACAAGATGATAGGAAATCAACAGTGGTTGTTATATTGCTTACTGTTATCTTCAAAGTAGTCGCTCAGAGTATCAGATAAAGGAATGCAAGATGGATCAAACAATTAAACATTAACTGTTCCTTTCAAAAAACCAATAGAAATTAGTAGTACAATTATCTTAGCTGTGTTGTGTGTGTGTATATATATATATTTCACTTCCTTATTTCTTCCTTTTCTTCTTTCCCTCATCCCAGTTGTTCTTTACTATTAAACAGTTTCTTTCCCTTTCACAGTATCTAGTGTACCTTTCAGTTTTATTTACTCTTTCAGTTTCTGACACAGGGAGACAATATGGTGTTTATACATGCAAGTCTGATTTGTTTTGTTTATGAGCATGGTCTCTAGTTGCTTCCATTTACCTATAAAAGCCTTGAGTCTATCTTTTTTTATAGCTGAATAATATTTGCTTGTATAAAAATACCAAAGTTTTCTTATCCACTTCTCAGTTGAAGGGCATTTGGGTTGTTTCCAAAATTTTGCTATGACGGATTGTGCTGCTGTGAACATGAGTGCATATATATTGCTGTAGTATGATGTTTTTAATTCTTCTGGGAAAATACCCAGAAGGGCAATGGCTGGGTTAAATGGGACCTCTAATCCTAATTGTTTGAGGAATCTCCAGACTGATTTCCAAAGCGGTTGCACCAGTCTATATTGCCACCAACAGTGGAGAAAGGTTTCTTTTTCCTCACAGCCTCTCCAGCATTTGTTGTTGGTTGATTTCTTGATAGTAGCCACTCTTACTGGGGAGAGATGGAATTTCAGTGTTGTTTTAATTTGCATTTTTTGAGTGACCAATGATGTTGAACATTTTTTCTTGTATTTATTTGCCATTTGTATATCTTCATCTGAGAAGTGTGTATTCATCTCAGATGCCCATTTTTGGATTGGGTCTTTGAATTTGGGGGGGGTCTGAGTTTTTTCAGTTCTTTATACGTTCTAGATATAAGTCTTTGTCTGAGGGACAGTTATCTAAAATGTTTTCCCACTCTGTGGGTTGTCTTTTCACTCTATTGGTGATTTATTTTGAAGTGCAAAAGCTTTTTAACAGGATGAGATCCCAGTTGTTGATTCTTTGAAGTGTTTCCCATGCAGTTTGGGTTTCGTTCATAAAGACTGTGCCTACCCCAATGTCTTCAAGATTTTGAGCTACTCTCTCTTCCAGTAGATTTAGTGTTTCTGCTTTAATAGTTAAATCTTTGATCCATTTTGACATTAGTTTAGTGCATGGTGATAGACGTGGGTCTAGTTTTAGTCTTTGGCATGTAGAGAGCCAGTTTTTCCAGCACCATTTAATAAAGGGGCTATCCTTCTTCCAGTGAACATGTTTGACCCCTTTATCAAAGATGTGTTACCTGAATGTGTTTGTAGTTGTGTCCGCATCTTCTAGTCTGTTCCATTGGTCTTCAGGTCTACTTTTTTTGCCAGTACCATGCTGATTTTATCACAGTAGCTTTGTAGTATAATTTCAAGTCAGGGATTGTGATGTCTCCTGACTTGTCTTTGTTGCCCAGTATTGCCTTTGCTCTTCTGGGTCTCTTCTGGTTCCTGATGAATTTTAGGAGTATTTTCTCCACTTCTGTGGGATATGCTAATGATATTTTGCTTGGGATTGCATTAAACCTGTATAACAATTTTGGAAGTATGGCCATTTTCACTATGTTGGTTCTTCCTATCTATGAGCAAGGGATATCTTTCCATTTTCTGATATCCTCTTCAATCTCCTTTTTCAGAGTATTGTAATTTTCCTGTAATTATAAATCTTTTACTCCCTTTGTTATATTGATTCCTAAGTATTTCATTTTTTTTGGATGGTACTGTGAAAAGAGTAGTTTCCCTAATTTCTCTCTCAATAAGATAGTTGTTTGTGTACAAGAATGCTATTGAGTTTTGAGTGTTGACTTTGTATCCAGCCACACAACTGAATTTGGTTATTAACTTTAGGAGTCTTTTGGTGAAGTTTTTGGGGTCTTCTATGTAGAGTATCATGTCATCTGTGAATAATGATAATTCCACTTCTTCCTTTGCCATCCTTATTCCTTTTATTTCTCTGTCTTGTCTAATTGCTCTGGCTAATTTTTCCAAAACTATGTTGAAAAGTAGTGGTCATAGTGGACATCCTTGTCTTCTTGTTCCTGATTTTATAGTAAAAGCTTTGTTTTTGTCCATCGAGTATGATGTTGGCTGTTGGTTTGTCATAGATGGCTTTTTAAAGATTGAAATAAATCTATTTCTATTTTCTGTAAAGTTTTTATCATGAATGAGTGCTGGACTTTATCAAAAGCTTTTTATGCATCTGTTGAGATGACCATGTAATTTTTGTCTCTGGCTCTATTGATATGTTGTATTACATTTATTGATTTGCATATGTTGAACCGTCCCTGCATTCCTGGGATAAATCCCACCTGGTCATGGTGTATAATTTTCTTGATTTGTTGAATTCTGTTTGCTAGTATCTTATGTAGGATTTTTGCATCTGTGTTCATTAGGGAGATTAGAAGCCAGTGAACTTTTTGATGATTTTTGAAGAGAGAGAGAAGCCCTACTTTAGTTCCTGCTTTCATATCTGAAGTTCCTACCACATGCTTTTGCTCCTATCACTTTGCAAGGGTTCAACATTATCTCTGCTCTTCACTTGTTCCTATTTTTTTCCTGATCCATGAAGCTTTTTATTGTGGTTTCAAGTATTCTGCATCTTCTGGAAAAATACTTTTTTATTTACCATTGCTGAAACCAGCAGAAGGTTGACAGAAAAAGTTTTTACTAAAAGAAAATTAGTAAGATTGCATTCAATAGAAAGACCCAACCACCCAGTATAAAATTAATGTTTAATCTAAACTGAAAACAAGCCAGAGTTTTCTTTGAGCCACAGTTGGGATGCTTGAGGTGAAAGGACAAAAACAAAACAAAACAAAATCAAAGAAAAACAAAGAGAACTTTGGTTTTCTTGGCTTTCCTTGTGTCATCATAACATAAGATGAGCTCTACAAATAGGGCTAATATGTGGGGAGCCTCAGAAAAGATTTAATTTTTTGCATCACGATTCTATGAATTGTCAGCAACTATGAGGGCAATCAGAAGGCTTTGAAGCAAGGTGATCTGCAGTTGAAGTGGGGTGATCTGTAGATGCCCATAGCACTGGACTTACACATGTACACATCCAATTGCAATTACTGTAACAGCAAGAGAAAAGGAATAGTACTCACTTTAAAGGAAAATGCAAATATTGATGCTCAAATTGGACTTGTACTGAGCAGATATGAACTGAGGTTCAGCTTAATTTGGGTTTGCTGAAGCAACCTGAGCTCAAAATATTGTTTTTTTTTTTTTTGGTTATGTTTTATTTTTTGAGACAGGGTCTCACTTTGAGTTCATGCTGGTCTTAAACTCACTCTGTAGACCAGGCTCACCTCAAACTCATGGCAGTCCTCCTGCCTCAGCCTCCTGAGTGCTGAGATTATAGTGCTCGATGCCAGGCTTGTTTTCTGTTTTGTTTTAAGAATCACGGAATGATTTGTGTGACATTAAGACACAATTTCAAAAGAAGTTCGCACCACCTTTGATGCATGTGAGTCACATTTTGTACTTCTATGGGTTGCCTTCTCAGATGAAACCTAAATATGTCAGTGATTCTTATCGGCTAGACACTTTTTCCAACATATTGGCTTAACATTTAAAGTAGGCACACTAAGAAAGCATAGAATTCCTGAAATTTTGGAGCAGAGTTAATGAGACCTGCAGGTCTGCTGACTATCCTGTCTGGGTGGCTAGATTCTGGGTTATGGTCTTGTCCTCTTGGCTTCATGTAAGTGCATTCTGCGTTATGAGGTAAATCTGGAGCTAGGGTCAAGATGTTTTCTACCTGAGTGTGTTGTACCTTTTTCTTCTGGCATGGCTGAAGCTCTTAACATGTAGTTTTATTATTGATGAGGTCATGATTGTTATCATGTTAATGATAGTGAATGGTTATGCTAACAGTATATAGATGAGGCTAATTTGAATCCTGCCTTTGTTCTTCCATCTACCAACACAAATAGAAAATAGTAAAGAGCAGACAAGGGAAGAGGAAGACAAACAGTTCAGGAAGGAAGAATTTTCAAGACAATTTGGGGATGAACTACCACTGAAGTTCAAGCAATAGTTATAAAAATAACTACAATGTAGAGTTACATGTGAATCTCAGTGTTTGGTATTTGAATACTTTGACTCTAGAGAATAGCTGTATTAGTCAGCTGTTCATTGATTGGATGGAATACCTGACATATACAGTTTAAAGGAGGAAAGATTTACCCTGGCTTACGGTTTCAGAGGCTTCAGTCCATAATCAGCTGGGCCTGAGCCAGAAACTTCCTGGTGGAGGAAACCTGCTAACCTCATGGCAGACAGGAACCTCTGCATAACGGAAGAGCCACAGGGGAAGGGCCCAGAAATCATACACATAGTGCTCCAAGTCACATCCCTATCACCCACGTGACACACCCAGGTGTGTGCTTTACTCGTCTAAGCATCTCTCAAACCAATCAAGTGAACAGTCAAATGAACTATTACAATAGTTAACCCTGTTGGTAACAATTTAGAGTATCCAATGGTTTTCTCTGTCTCTGTTCACAGATCATTTAAATTTTTCCTGTGCCATCCATGAGTAAATTGAAGTGCTGTGGAGATTAGTTTGAGTTAATAGTAAAAAAATAAAGTTTGGATTTAGGGATTTAGAAGAATAACCATTTTCTCGTCAACAGAAATAGTCTGCTTTTGCCAGTAAATCACAGAGACGCATCTGGTGGTGGCTGAGGAGCTCATCTGTTCTTGGGGCTCATGGGACTTTGTTTTGTGATAGTCTTTGCAAATACTTGATTAGACCTGGAGACAGAGTAGAGGTTTGGGGAACTGGAGGATATTATTGTAAAGGTTAAGTTAAACACTGACTTTGTACAATATGATTGTGATGAAATAATTTTTTGTAAAATACTCAAAATTTTCCATTGTTGTACTTCTTAAGTTTAATGAAAAAAAATCCAAATGTAAGCTACAGGGTAAAATTTTCTTTCTGTTCTGTGGTAGGTTTGTCACCAAATTGTTGGAGGACCTCATCTTCTTTGTTGCTGATGTGCCCAATAATGGACAAGAAGTCCTGGACGTGGTTATCACCAAGCCAAACCGGGAGCGCCAAAAACTCATGAGGGAACAAAACATCTTGGCACAGGTGAATCTTTTTCATGGGCTACATTTTTATATAATTTTTAAAATTGGAACATCAGGAAAGTCTTTGCACTAGGTATCTATTGCTGTGTGAGAAATGACCCTCCAAACACTTATTACAGACTGGGTGGTGTAAAAATCTCAGTGTACCCTGGGTGAGCTGTTCTTGCTCCGGTCACACTGAGCTACAGCCCAGCTACCACGTAGGGCAGTGGGCGGCAGTCATCTCAGGCCTCGCCTGGGGAAAGATCTACCTGTCAGTTCATTCACTGGAGTCTCCGCAGGGCTGCATCAAGGCAAGGCACTCCGCTTCCTTCAGCGGTGAGGGATGCAGGAGTGAACAAGAAGGGCTCCTTCAGACAGCATTGGTAGCCTTTTCACAACCTCATCTCAGGCCTCCCATCCTATCATTTACATTGTGCTTGCTTAGAAGCCAGTTGAACATCCCCCAGTTGCAAAGTTTAAGTTTGTTTCCCTTTCCAACCTCTATTGAGTAGGTCTGGAAGTTTGTTTTTCTGACCAGCAACATTTTACGGGAGGGAAAACAAGGTTATTTCTTTCTATGTTTTATAGTAACATAGGTGTGAAAATCTAAAATACCAAGATTTTGGGCTGGTCACCTGATAGAAAGAATAGAGGGAACTAGTACCTCTTGAGTAGTGAGGAGCCGAGCACTGTGTTAGTGATTTCCTGTCATGAGGTTTTCAGAATAACCTACAAAGGCATCTTGACTTCCACTTTTCCCTGTGACTATACTAACGTTCAGAGAGAGTGAATGCTATAGACCTCACAACTGACAGAGCTGACATTTGAACCTAGGTCAGGTTCTAAGCCCCATGGTGCTGCTGGGTTCCATGTGGGGGCTATTTTGAAGTCAGTTTTCTGGCACTTCAGGCCATCGTTCTTTTTTTTTTGAGACAGAGTCTCACTATGCTGTTCAGGCTGGCCTTGAGCTCACTTTGTGGCCTAGGCTGGTCTCGAACTCTCGACGATCCTCCTGCCTCAGCCTCCCAAGTGCTTGGATTACAGGCATGCGCACCTGCACCCAGCACCATAGTTCTATAGTTTGAACTATTAGCTGTATTCACATTATGTAAGTGAACCAATTTGGAAAAGAGCTTGTTGTTCTCCTTTCGCGGTGGTCATTATTCTTGAACAAACTCCACCTACAGTCTAGGAGAGGATTCCATAAGGATGTGAATATTGGGAGACAGCAGTTGGGGGCATCCTAGAGGTAGTGAGCATCCTGTAGAACCCCCAAAACCCCTCCATGGTCAGACTATCTCCAGAAACTGTTCTGGAATAATACCTAGACAGAATTTCCAGGTGAACTTGGACAGTGTCCTTTCCATATGCTTTCTACTTCTTTCCTCGTCATCTCTAAGAAGATAGGGTTGTCTGCTCATACACAATGTTCTAGATGTTCGTCCCTGAGAGTTTAGAGCTGATCGTATATTACATCTTCCTGAAATTGTTCATAACGTGCCAAGAAGTGGGTTCACCTCCCAGTAATATGCATATAAGAACATGTCTGCCCTTATGTGTTTTTTTAAAATTTAATTTTTGTGTGAAGTATGACTCAAGATATTGAAACATAAGAATTATCTTATTAATATACACATTCTTTTGAGTTGGAAAAGGAAAACACTAGCTATATGGTTAATATTGATAGCCAGTTGTCTGAAAATATGAAGTCCAAGTTTTTCTCAAAAAGAAGGAAGAGAAAAGAATATATACATACACACCAAATAGCTGAGATAATTATACTAATAATTACTCTTAGTTCATTGAAAAGAATGGGTTGTGCTTACATTGTTTGATCCATCTGGCATACCTGTATCTTCTAATCTGAGCAACTACTTTGTTTTTTTTTTTTTTTTTTTTTTTTTGGTTTTTCTCCGGTACCGGGAACCGAACTCACACTCATGTGAGCAACTACTTTGAAGATAACAATATGCAATATATTAACCGTTGTTAATTTCCCACGATCTTATTTTGAAATTCTGTATCATTGTTTTTATTGTTTTTCTCTCTTTAAAAGAAAACAATTTTTCTCAAAAAAAATGAAAAGGTTACAAATCTAGTGAAAGAGTCTTTTCTGACACTAGCAATTCTTGTATATAAAGTATTTGACTTCAAGGACTTCTAGGAATTTGTATGTTTTATTGATATTTTAGCCAATATATGTCACACAGTGCTATAAAATGCAAGGTTTAGTAACTGTAGCGTTATTGTAGGAAGGGTATTATATTTCATGTACTCCAAAGGATAACTCTGTTCTACTTTGCTTTGCTGTGTTAATGCTCATGCCTTTGGCTAAGTGCTCTTTTACGGCAATTTTCTTTTCCACGAGCCCATGTGCAGGTGATACCACCTGCTGACTTGCTGCGGAAAGTTATATTCTTAATGTTTTCTAAATGCAGGGTAAGAGTTGCTAACTGGTAACTTTCTTACATGATTCTGGCTCCTTGGCACTCTTGTAGCTCCTGATTTGTTGCACTGCAATGCTGCTGACGCATTCATTGGTTTGGCCTTGTTTTTCCTTGTATATCTTGAACAGAGAATTACTCTTGAGAGATTTTATGCATTTGGATGCCAATATTGGCTGCTTACCTGCTTAGAATTATTTCCTCTTGTCAAATTGACCCTAGGAAGAGCTAAAAGCAATATTTAGCAGCCGTTTTCTAATGTAATTTTCACATAAAAAGCAAATGTCCTCTTCGCATTACTTTGATTTTGGAAAGTTACAGAAAGCAACGGAAGAAACAAGCACATAGAAATTGTATTTGAGTTCCTATGAATATATTTATGTAACCTGGTATTATTGAACATTCTTATATTTCCCATTTTAATTAAATATAATACCTACATAAAATTAAGCATTGTATTTAAATAATGTTTTTGCTGTTCAATGTAAGAAACTTTTCTGCAGTGTTTTTAACTGTTCCTTGTACGTTAATCCTGCATCTTAACCACCTTCCTCCTTTTATCTTATTTCCACGCAATGTTACGAAAGTGTTTTTGAATTAATGTTCTTATTTGTATGACAGTTAAAATAGGTTGCAAAGCCCGCACCACTGTTCCTCAGAATAGATGGTTCTTTGTGTTCCTGACAGGTATTTGGGATTCTGAAAGCGCCCTTCAAGGAGAAAGCGGGAGAGGGCCCCATGCTGAGGCTGGAGGATCTGGGGGACCAGCGCTATGCACCCTACAAATACATGCTGCGGCTCTGCTACCGGGTGCTGCGACACTCGCAGCAGGACTACCGGAAGAATCAGGTCAGAGGGCGGCCCTGTTCTTGACCCTGCTTCACATTTAAAGGGTGGGCAAGGCTCTTTGGTTGCAATTTAAAGGATAGAAGGTGGGAATGGGAAATTTCACTTTTCAATGAGTTGTTTTATCTTGGCAGCACAACAGAAAATGATCTGAACTTACTTTTGAGCTGACGTATGTATTTCTTTTTCCACATAAAATTAGGATCACTGGGTGAGGCTGTCCTGAGGGCAAACAGTGCATAGTATTAGGTCCTGCTGTGCAGGAGGCATCCTGCATCTCTTAGGTAAAGAGGACTGAGCCATGTCTTGGCTTGAGAAACTTGTGACAAATATAGCCTTACCGTGGATGGGCCAAGGAGTTCATTGTCTGGTGGAAAAAACATAACATGAGCATCTGAGGCATAAGGAGGAGGCAAAGAGTAGGGCCGGAGACAAAAGACAGCAGCAGGGTAGGTGTTCACGAGAGGGAGAGCATAGCTGTGTCTATGAAACCCCAGGACATTTCCCCGGGGAAGGAAGCATTTGAGTAGGACGAGAATCATCTTCCTAAATTGCATGTGAGCGGCCCTTTGAGGAAGAGGGACCTATGCAGAGGGAATGACGGGTGTCAAGCAGTGCAGGTAGCTTAAAATTGGCAGGTGCGAACGGAATGCTTTTCAAGTCTCGCCTTAAAAAATGCAGACTGTTTTGCATTGTGTTCTTTAATGTAAATGTTTAACATAAAATTGTTATCATTAATGATGATTTGGTTCGTGAATGTGTACGTTCTTCTTGCTCGATGGGAGGGAGGAACGCATCCCCAGTAAATTTTGCTGATGAGTTTAGGCCATGAGGAAGAACGGTGTGACACGGTTGGGAGGCAGGGTTGTGAAACCCCCCAGGGCCTAGGGCCACAGGTCTAGAGGGTGGAGGTTGTTAGCGAATCATTCCCCGTATTTATTGAGTGCTTGTTTGCGTCCAGGTAAGCAACTTTTAGAAATGAGCTCAGCTTAGTTGATACTGAGATAAGGTGAAGTTAACCTGCCCAAGGTTATGGGTGGTTTATTTCAGTGGGGAGTGGATTGAAGCCAGGGCCTCCCTGGTAGGCAAGTGTTCTACCACTGACCTGCATTTCTACGCCCACAAGGCTGTAGTTTTAAGGATGAATTCAGTGTACAAAGTCGGGCAGAGTTAGAACACTTTGTTTCTCAGTAGCTTGAAAGTACTTTGGCAAGAAAGAAAAAGATTTGCTTTAGGAAGAAAGTGTCAAAATATGTTGGCTTGGGGATTCTGTGTGAAGATTAAGAAAGGTCTAAAAGAATATATAAAACAGGAGCTAAATACTGTGACTAGGAACAGAAGCAAGGTGAGTAATGTAGGCAAATTCTTAAACGTTTTCTAATAGGAGCCTAGTGCTAGATGTCTTTCTCTCCACCTGAAAATGCTGTCACCAGAATTACGCTTCCCAATTTCACTGCAGTAGAGTTGCTCATCTGTTACTGGGCAAAAACTTAAGGCCCAGGAAGTTCCACGACGGAGCTTCAGGCATTCAGAGAGTCAGTGCTGGGGGTGCCCGCAGTATGAAGGGCCCAGGTTATTCCCTGGAGGTGCGGAGTGAGGCCACTTGGCATATTTTCTTTATCCTTGTTTTTTTTCTGGGTCCAAAAAACATATAGTATTCCCCTCTTATCCATGGTTTTGTTTTTTGCTGTTTCCAATAGCTATGATCCATTGTGGTGCAAACCTGTTAATTAGCAAATTTTAAAACTGATAATTCTAGAAGTAGAAACTTACTTTACTTACTTGAGTGTCCAGTACACAAAACTAATGATGCCACCGTACTTGATTGGACGGGGCACCGCTCCAGACATGCAAGTAGTACTGGATGATAGAGGGTGAAATTTACAGAAAAAGAGCCATGGGTCTGCAGAGGCTCCTGAAGGCCTCGGCGGCGATAGACCACAGCTGTGGGAGGGTGCTGGGGCTGTGTCCTCCCTTTCTGCGCTCTGATCTGGCTTCGATGCCCAGTCTCCTTGGGCCTGGTTGTTCTGCTGGTTTCCTGTGGAGCCCAGCGTCACGTCATTGCTGATGTCTTTTCTCAGTGTCTAGAGGTCTGGCATGCTCGGGTCTCTCATGTCTTAGTCTCAGCTGTAGACTTGCCGAGTGTGCTGATCTGCACATAATTTCTGCTCTGAACACACACACACACACACACACACACACACACACACACACCTCCTGCCTAGTCGCGCCATTTCTCCCAGGTAAATGTTCACACACTTCAGGGCCCTACTTCGTGTGGGTGATCCACTCCCTCCTGTCCTCTCCCTGAGAGTTAGATCTCTGAGCTGACAAAGGAATGAAATAGTTCCTGGTGTCCACTGAAGGTCAGATTTTAATTCCCCCGACTCCTTCATGGTCTCATTGAATCTCAGCAATAGCCGAGAAACTGTTGTTTTTCATTTCTTTTGCATGAAATGTTCTGCGTTAACCATAAAGCAGCTCTCGGGTGTGGTTTAGAAAAAGATTTCTAAAATATAGGCAGAAAGACCTCCTGCTTTTTTGGCTTAATTACCTTATTTTCTACCTTCACCTGTATTTCAGAGAAGTCACTCATGTTACAGTATTACTGCTCCCCAGGTCTTTACAGTTGAGTTTCTGTTTATTATTATTTATAGAATTTGATAACACTCTAATTTAATTTCAGTATTTATTAACATCTTGGAAGTTTGCCTCATACCGGAATATGATTACGATAGTTACAAGAGTATGTAAATCAATACATATCTTTAAAATGACACACTAACAGAAGACATTTACTTTACTTAATTAGCTAGCCGATACACAAAGCCATCATTTTGAAAGGCCGCAAACATGCTGCCTAGAATATAATTAGATTTGTGCCACTGATATAATTTTCAAGAAATAAATATGTTCCAGTAAGTTTTATCTAAGGCGAAAACCACTTTCCAATCAATAAATTCTCCTATCACAGAAACAGAAATACACTTCCAGGGAGAATCCCCAAGAAATGTGAAGGGGTTAGATCCACTAGTTCTGTGATTATGGGAGATGTGTTACTTGCAGACAGAATGCTAAATCCGAACAATGGTGAGTTGGGATATAGGGGAGTTAGTGTGGAGAATAGAAGTGGATTACAGAATGTATGAAAGAGACCTTTCCTTGGTTTTAGAATAATGTTTTTTGGCCTTTACCGTGACTCACAATTCACAAGATTCAGTGGTTAACTTTTCTTTATAGACTACAGGCTCAGCTCCATTGCCCCAGGGCCTTTGCACTTGCTACTTCTGGTACTGCCTGGGGAGTTTTCTCCAGAGCTTCCCATGGCTGTTTCCTTTTCATCATTTTCACTCTTGCTCAGATATCACTTCAAAAGTTGCCACTTTTCCCCATCCTTCTGCTTGTCCCATTTCACTTGTCGATGTATAAAATGATTGTATTTGTTTGCTCATTTACTGCTCTTTGCCTCTGTAGGATGTAAGGCTCTTGAGAGTTCAGCTATGTTGCATGCAGCTGTATCCCTAGCTTCCCAGTGCCTGGAATACTTGAGATCTTTAGGAAAGATTTATTGGTGAACAGATCTGATTAATAACACAACTAATTATATACGTTATTTGAAGGCTTTCAATGATGAGAAGTGTACTTAATTTTTACCATTGTTTTTCAGAGAAGATCTTAGAGATCACTGCAGTATATATACAAGGAAGAAATCATCCCAAATTCATCTTTAGGTGGTTGCATAGATCTTGTGCAAGCTTATGAATGAAATATCAGGCAGTCATTTCTTCTTTTTAAAATTTTGTCAAAAATCCTTGGTCATGACTTTCAGTGAGCACTGGAAGAAGGACCCCGTTAGGCTGGTGAAATCCTAAGTGACCATGTTGTACAAACTTGTTCTTTTGATTAGATTTATATTTGTGTTCTTTTTCTGCTTATAAGAATACCCATATTGGAATCATTTCTACCAACATATTTTTTGTGTGTAATTTAATTTACATGTATGTGGATATGTTTTCATTTCCTTCCCTGGAAAGCTCTGTTTATTGAAGATTTCCCTGTTTTCCTTTTGACAGCACTTCTAGTGAGTTATCTGTTGTGAATAAATGAATGCAGGTTGCTAACCCTAATGCAAGCTGTTCCTCTGACTGCCGGGCAGCGCTCTGACAGCCTTTCTTCTTTGCAGGAGTACATTGCTAAGAACTTCTGTGTCATGCAGTCCCAGATTGGCTATGATATTTTGGCAGAAGACACCATCACAGCTTTGTTGCACAACAACAGAAAGCTACTAGAGAAACACATCACAGCAAAAGAAATAGAGACATTTGTCAGCTTACTCAGGAGGAACCGGGAGCCAAGGTTCGAAGTGGTTCATGCAGTGTTCTTTTCTATGGGGGATGGCGGCTTGTGTTTTATTTGTAGAACAGTTAGAAGTGAGAATTCTTTTGTACTGCTGACTGTCACGGTCAGACTCTGTTGGGTTTGTTGCTATAATCACTACGTATAATAAGGAGTTACTACCGTGTGGGAGATCATAGTCTTATAGATGTGTTTGTTTGTTTGTTTGTTTGTTTGGTGTTGGGATTGAGCCAAGGGCCTCCTGGCCAGGCAAGTAAGTGCTCTGCCACTGAGCTATAATCCCAACCCTAGACTTATATTTAAATGTACTTGGTTTCTACTTGATAATGTACATATGGGTTTCTGAAGTATATGCACATGCATCATTTAAATCATGCACATTCTCATTAAGTATACTAATTATATATATAATCATATATATATATATATATATATATATATATATATATATATATATATATATATATATGTGTTTGGTGCTGGAAATGGATCCCAGGGCCTCATGCATGCACAGCACACATTCTACCACTGAGCTGCATTACCCATGTCTTAGAAATAAGACAAGACTCTAGTGAGTTATCTGTGTGAAGCCTAAAGAGCAGCTTGCCCAGGAATACCCCAACAGTTAGGAATAGAATGTCAGGTAAATCAGGCTGTCTAGTTTTCCTCTGATTGCATGCTACCTTACCCAAGAGAAATGAATGCACAGAACCAAGCACTTTGATCAAGTTGTCTTAACAAACTACAGCAAATAAATGCGAGAGGGCAGAAACAGCTCTTCTTCAGGAGGTGGTCGCTTTGCTTAAGCATTTGCTGTAGTCCTGTTTTACTCTGGACAGTACTGGCTTTGATCTGCTTTTGTTTTGTTATTCAATTCTGGGGACTCACACGTTAGGTCAGACAAATGATTTTTTAAACATAAGTCACCATACTAAGGGATTAATGGCCCCAGACAAACAGAAGCAGACATTTCCTTTGTGATCCTTTAATTTGTTTCTAAGGACACGTTAGATGGCACGTAAGAAAAACGTTCCTGGAAATAATATTAAAATATATTGAAATAAATTTCTTCTGTTATGTTCCGAGTTGCAGTTTTGTTGTGATGGTTTTATATCAAGGTTCACTTTAGTGTTTTTCTCTTGCCAGATTTTTGGATTATTTGTCAGATCTGTGTGTGTCTAATACCACTGCCATCCCTGTCACTCAGGAGCTCATCTGTAAATTTATGTTGAGTCCTGGCAACGCCGACATTCTCATCCAAACGAAGTAAGACAGATAACGGGGACATCTATTTTCTGTCCATTGTTTTTGTAAGCATTGCATTTTTTAATGTCAGACTTGTAAGTATGATTCCTGATAGAATTTTGTATGCGTTGCTGATTTCAAGGCTGGTCTCAATGCAAGTAGAAAACCCCATGGAGAGCTCCTTCCTTTCGGACGACATCGATGATGAGGAGGTTTGGCTGTACTGGATCGACAGCAACAAGGAACCTCACGGCAAAGCGATCAGGCATCTGGCTCAAGAAGCAAAGGAAGGCACCAAAGCTGACCTGGAAGTTCTTACCTATTACAGGTTAAGTGTTGTACAGATTCACCCTTCTCCCTCTCCCAGACCCCTGAGAGCTGTTTCTCTGATACCTTTAAAAGTTAGATGTAGGGGCTGGGGATTTAGCTCAGCGGCAAAGCGTCTGCCTGGCAAGCGCAAGGTCGTGAGTTCGGTTCCCGATACCGGAGAAAAACCAAAAAAAAAAAAAAAAAAAAAAAAAAGTTAGATGTCTGTGAGCAGGAAATTTAAAGTCACATCAGGACTAGGGTGGCTGAAATGTATAGGGACTTAAAATATTCAAGATGAATGTTAACACCTGTGCTGTCCACATACATCACTTGCTATTTCCTGATTTTTCTGCTTAGTTTGAAATTTGTGTGTAGCAAAGGGTTTCTTCCTATTACTGGTTGCAGTAGAGACCGATGAGAGACCAGTTAGGACGTAGGTCGCAGATCAAGAGGTGGAACGGGGGCTGAGCAGTCTGATCTGGCCCCAGGGAGCTCAGTATAGGTTAGTATATTGTATGGGTGAATATGTGCCGGGCTGGGGCTTCACGGGAGCTGGTGTCCTTATGCAAGTCCACTGAAAGTGGTTGCCTTAGTCATTTTTCTATTGCTGAGACATCATATCCGACACTTGCAACTTAAAGGAGGAGAGGTTTATTTTGGTTAGTGGTTTCAGTCCATGGTCTGCTGGCTTCGAGGCAGAAATGACACAGTGTAGGATCATGCTGGAGGAAAAGTGGCTCAGCTAAGACAGCAGCTAGGAAGCAGAGACAAGGGAGGAGCGAGGGACCGGAATACATCCTTCCAGGTCACGCCCCCAGGGACCTACCTCCACCCAAGCTCCATCTCCTAACATCACATTCAGCTACTGAACTCATTGATGGATGAAGCCACTGATGATGCGCGTGGTGCCCTGATGTTCCAAGCACCTTCCACACACACACCAAACACACACACACACACACACACACACACACACACTTGCTATATTGGGAGCAAGAACCTGCCTGGCATCTTTGAGTTTAATGTATAGAAAACCAAGGCAGAAGCCCTTGGGCCAAGTTGACTCCAAATGGCAGAAATCAGAGAAATGCAGAGAACTTCTTGTTCCCTGGTGTCTGCAACTACAGCAACAAAAGTGGAGGCTGATTCTCAGTCTCAGAGACCAGAGAATCCAAGGTACCAGTGCCGCATGGATCAGCGTGGGCTGGGAACCAAGTGTAGCTTGCCAGCAGCAGGACAAGGGAAGCTGGAGGAATAGGATGCTTTCATGTGAGACGTTGTCCTTGGCCTTCTGGCTTAGTGTATTTGTAATCCTAGGAAGCTGGGAGCTTCGTGACACTTGTCCTCCAGAGATCTGTCACTGCATCGAGTAAGATAAATCATAATGAGGGGGCATAAAGGCTGTTTCACCTCTGCACTGTCATTTGATCGCTTGACCTACTCCCCAAACGATTAGACGCAGTATCATAAAGACTTGGAAATGCGGGTATCATAAACAAAGATCCTGATTGGTGTATAAGAACTTTGTCAAGATAAGACAAGTAATGTACTGTGTTTGATATTTTTAAGGTACCAGCTAAACCTCTTTGCAAGAATGTGCTTGGATCGCCAGTACCTGGCCATCAACCAGATTTCTACACAGCTCTCTGTGGACTTGATCCTGCGCTGTGTGTCAGATGAGAGCCTGCCCTTTGACCTCCGAGCATCTTTTTGTCGGCTCATGCTCCACATGCATGTGGACCGGGATCCCCAGGAGTCTGTGGTGCCCGTTCGTTATGCCAGGCTCTGGACAGAAATCCCCACAAAGATCACGATTCATGAGTATGTGTGGAAACATTTCTTAAGGCTTTTAAATTTAGTAGGTGTACTGAAATGCCTTCAACTTTGAAATGAAATCCTTGGAAAAGGCATTTGTGTTTTCTCTCTAAAATTGTTCATCTTCCAGGTACAAATGGGACACTCTTTTTGGAGGGTAAAATGACAACTTGGTTGTTCTTTTTTAATCTGATTTTTTTTTTTTAATTTTAAAGAAAATAGTACAAAAAAAGAACAATAGCAAAATACAAACAAAACAAAGCAAGGGCATTAAAAATGATATGGGGTTTCAAACCAAATGATAGGGATTAACACTGGTTGTTATATTACATACTGTTATCTTCAACAAAGTTGCTGAGATTACCAGATGTAAGAATGGAAGATTGATCAAGTCATTAAAGAGAATAAGAAAATAATAATTTAAAAGAACTTTAGAGACAATACAGAGTTTCACTAGACAGAACTGTAGGAATTCACCAATGGTTGTTATACTGGAAATTGTCATCACATAAGTTGCTCAGATTACCAGATATAAGCATGCAAAATTGGTCTAAACGTATAAAAAAGACCCTTTTAATCATTAACTGTTGCCCTCAACAAACCATCAGACACCAGCAGTACAGTTATGCCACTGAACCATATGTATATATAACCGTATATAATTGCAGTGCAATTTGTCATAACTAAATGTCAGAAACAACCCAAATGCCCATCACCTGAGGAATGGATAACAAAGATGTGGTATTTCTGTACAATGGGGTATTACTCAGCTATAAAAAAAGATAAACTGTAGGCTTTTATAGGTAAATGGATGCAACTAGAGACCATACTCATAAGTGAAATAAATCGGACCCACATGTGTAAACATCACATTGTCTCCCTGGTGTAAGAATATCTGATTTTTTTTTTATTTTAAAGACAGTCATAGACAGTCATAGACATAGACAAATAAAAACTTCTTTCTAGAAGCCAATACAGAAATTATAATGGGTATCCATCCATTGGCTGAGTGCTTGATATTATGGCTGGCTTTGATTTATTGTCATATGTTACGTCATTTCACAATAGCCCCATTTTACAGATGAGGATACAACACCTAGAAAGGTTAACTGATTTATTCAAGATTACAATGCTAGGAAATTAAACGGCATATAATAGTTCTCCTATTTTTAAATAATTAAAACCAATTCAGTTTGCTGTGCTTTCTTCCTGTCTTCCTAGATATAACTCTATAACAGACACTTCTAGAAGTGACATGAAGAGGAAATTTGCACTGACAATGGAATTTGTTGAAGAATACTTGAAAGAAGTTGTAAATCAGCCCTTTCCTTTTGGAGATAAGGAGAAAAACAAACTGACATTTGAGGTATCTTAAAACAATTATTTTGTTTTTTTTTTGTTGGTTTGTTTTTGTTTTTCTTCTGGTACCAGGAATGGAACTCTCGACCTTGCGCTTGCCAGGCAGGCACTTTGCCGCTGAGCTAAATCCCCAGCCCCCTTAAAACAATTATTCTGGAAGTAATTAAATATTCCCTGTCCAAAATTAGGAACACTGAATGTCAAGATTTTTTTCCTTTTAATATTTAGGATGTTTTGGTAATTGGTATTTGATATTTTTGTTTCATATGTGTAAGCTTTATTAATTATATTTAATGAAGAAAGACAGTTTTGCCTACTTTATATTTGGATAGTTTATTTCATTTTCATGGAGGTGATGCTTTTTAGTCTCATTAACTAAATTGAAATACCTCTAGTAATAATATTATTTTGGGGATTTACTTTACTATTATTATTTTTTTGTTATTTATTTATTTATTTTTTTGAGACAGTGTCTCGCTATGCAATTCAGGCTGGCCTTGAGCTCACTTTGTAGCCAAGCTGGCCTTGAACTCGCAATGATCCTCCTGCCTCAGCCTCCCGAGTGCTGGGATTCCAGGCGTGAGCCATCACGCCGAACTCTTATTTTGGGGATTTATTGCCAACCTAGAGAAAGGGTGCTGTTATTTGATCCCTGTTACATTAGCTGCCTCTTGATGTGTGATATGCTAGTCCAAAGAACAGTACCTTAAATCAATAAGCAAGTATTATTTCATAGAATATGTGGGTCAGGAGCCTAGGAATAATGTGGCTGGGTGGTCCTCAGCCTTGATGTGGCCTGTGGCGTCCAGAAGACCACAGAGGAGAGTAATGAACATACACTTCTGGGGAAATTTCATAAATTATATTTATTAAAGTAATTTGGGGCTGGGGGTGTGGCTCAGTGGTAGCTCTCTTGCTTCACATGCACAAGGCCCTGGGTTCAACCCTCAATACCACCAAAAAAAAGAAAATCACCTTATTAAAGTAATTTACCCATTTATTATGAGGTATCCTACCAACTTCAAGTTAATATTTCATTAAGAAGTAAATAATTCTAGTGTAAGCTTTTTAAAAATTTTTTTTTATTTTTTGAGACAGGGTCACTATGCAGTTCAGGCTGGCCTTGAAGTCTCTTTGTAGCCCAGGCTGGCCTCGAACTCACAAGGATCCTCCTGCCTCAGCCCCAGCCTCCCGAGTGCTGGGATTGTAGGAATGCTGGGATTACACGCCCAGCTCTAGTGTAAGGTTCTTTAGAAACCTTAAAGCACTCAGTAGCTATGCATTAGTTCCAGGCTGGAGTAAATCAAAGTTTAAGTGGATGCTTTTGTAAAGATTTTAATTCCTGAGTTTTAGAGAATTATGAAATTTAGAAATGCCTGAGATTTTTAAAACGTGCTTATTCAACTCCTAATATTTTCTTTTTCACCTTCTCCTTCTCCTTTTCTAAAATTAAGGTGGTTCACCTGGCTCGAAATCTCATATACTTCGGGTTTTACAGTTTCAGCGAGCTGTTGAGGCTCACGAGAACACTCCTGGCCATCCTAGACATTGTCCAGGCTCCCATGTCATCGTATTTTGAAAGATTAAGTAAATTTCAAGATGGAGGTAAGACTTCTGAGAAATGTTATAATATTTTTGTTATTATGTAGAAGTAAGATTTTAAAGAAAATCTACAGAGATGTGATTATCAACCTGCACCTACTCCAAGATTGTGCAGTACCTATGAAAATGCTACCTGTGCTAGGAGTGAGTGATACCAGGTGGACTTACAAACATACCTCTCTGTTTTTGATGCTAATGTTTTGAAAGACAGCTTCCATAGGACTAAATTCCATGTTTAGCAGTGAAGATTGCAGCTAACCCACTGGTGAAAGTACTGTGTGTTAAAAGGATGAAAATACCTTGCTATTTGTGATCGTCTTGTGATGTGGTATTGGCTGGCTTTGCGTTAGCGCTGGTTGTAGAAAGATGGGAAAGCAGGCAGGCTAAGGGTCATGCTAAAGAGGTGGTGAATGTGAAGCTGGTGAGGAGAGGGGAGTGAGGTGGATGAGGGAACGGGCTTTGGAGTTGAGTGCCCGTGTTCGAATCCTGCCTCTGCCATCTGTTAACTTATGCATGGTACTTGTCTTTCTGTGATTATCTTCTCTTCTGAGATCTGAAGATGACCATAATAGTATCTCTCTCACAGTTTCCTTTGGAGAGGTGTGCAGATCTATACACTATATTCCATGGACTTACAGTAATGACTGTCATAATGCAGTAAAAGTATTTTATCTGGTGATTGTCTTAGACTGGCTAGATCACAATGCCAGAGATAGAGAAGTGTTTCCTGGAGCCGTGTTGAGGAATCCACCCAGGATATGCATCCGTAGGAAGGTGAGGATGGTAGGGCTGGGAGACAAGAGAACCCAGTTTGCAGTGTAGTTACAACTGAGACCTACAGGGAGGTCTAAGCTGGGAGGGTCCATTGGGGCTGTCACACATTAAACCAAGGGGACAGAGCTTTGTGTTTTGCATCAGCCAGCCACTGGGTGCCCGTGGGGGAAGGGTGTGACTTTGGGTCAGGCAGATCCCTTCGGCTGTTAGCCACGCACCCACAAGGCCAAGAAATGAGGGGAAGAGGTGCCTCAGAGAGGGCACAGACGGGACACAAGAGTATCCACTGCCGCATCTGCTACAGGATGAAAAAGGTGGAACCAGTGCTATGGCTTGGATCTAGATGTCCCCCGAGTCCTCATGTATTGATGACTTGATTCCCCATGCAGCAGTGATCAGAGATGGTTTGTTTGAAAGGAGATTCTATCACGAGATCACTAACTTCAGACTGATGGGTTTGTAATTCGATGTCACAGGGGTGAGCCAGACACTGAGGGGGTGGGGCCTGGAGGGAGTGGGTCAGGGGCATACGCCCTGGGGACCATATCTTGTCCTCAGCCGCTCCTGTGCTCTCTGCTTCCCGGCCACTGTGGTATGAGCACCTTTGTTCCCCACACACTCCTGCAATGGAGCCAGCTGAGTGTGGACGGAGCCCTCTGAGACCAGAGTGTTGGACTTACAAGCCTGCACGATCAGGTCTGGCTTATTCTTAGGTGTTTTTTGTCACAGAAATGGAAAGTGGACTAATAATGAGAAATCTAACTTCAGATATAAGAAGAAATATCTGATTAAGAATTATAAATAGGGCACGTCCAAATAAGCTGAAGTAATTAATTGCTGCTGGCTAAATCTCAATCCCTTTTACTTCTTCCCCTGCCAAAGTCGTACAGATCAATAAGCAGCAAATTAGACAGGGTAAGTCCCTCACCTTGAGCCTAAGTAGAAACCAGAGAATAATACAAACTTCAGTTGCTACGAGTAGGAAAATGAACATCAGTTTTCAGTAGAAATGCCTCATGAGCTCCCATGGCAGGCCGCAGGCCACAGAGGGGCAGAGGCCATTGTGTGAAATTCACCCTCAGACACAGAAAATGGAAAAACAATTGAAAAAATATCCAGGTAGATTAGAGCATCAGCTACAGAGGAAAGGACTTAAAAGGGGTACCCTTGAGACCATAATGCTCAGCAAAGTAGATCAGACATAGAAGGTTAAATATTGCATGGTCTCTCTTATATGAGAAATCTAAACTACAAATAATTTAAAGAGCAAAATAAGAGATAGATGATAAGAAACAGGGAGAGAGTTTGTGAGGGTCTAGAGATGGGGGAATGGGAGGGAGTGGAGAGGAAGGGGAAATAAAAAGGATCAAGATGCAATATGTATGGGCACCAGGTCCCCGCAGTGAGTGGATTTGTTATTTTGTGTCACACAAAATCCACAAGAGAAAAGATTGCAAGCGCTCTGAGGATGTGGAAAGAAAGAAAACGTCTGGACACTGCTGTTGGCGATGTAAATGAATACAGCCATTATGGCAAGCAGTATGGAGGTTCCTCAAGAAACTAAAAATAGAAATACTGGGGGCTGGGGATTTAGCTCAGTGGCAAAAGCGCCTGCCTGGCAAGCGCAAGGTTGTGAGTTCGGTTCCCGGTACCGGAGAAAAACCAAAAAAAAAATAAAAAAATAAAAATAAAATAAAAATAGAAATACTATATGATTTAGCAATCCCACTACTGAGTATAAACCCACAAAGAAAAAAAAAGTATACAGGTACCAGGTGCAGAGCTTCCAGGGATGAGCAGTCTTAGGGAGGGAACATCACTTTGCCGGTCTTGTGAAGGGAAAGGAAACAAGATGGGGACACCTAGGATACCACAAGATAAAAGAAAATCCGGAAATACAAGGATGTACAACGCCCTCCTGGCCCACCACTAAAAGCCACTTTAAAGGAACTGCACTTCACGACTCTGGCAGGAGGGGGAGCTCTTGAACCAGAGATGTTAACCCGCTCAGTCTCAGCCCCACCCGCGAAGTGTGTATATGTCCCCAGTCTTTGCCTCTGAAAGGGCTGTGAGATCCAGACAGAATGGAAGAGCGAAGCTTTGCAGTTGATGGACACTCCTCTATGAAAGGCAACCATGAAAGAAAAGAATATTGAAGATGGCACTACAAATGGTATTACATTTTTTCCAAGCAAACATTGGTTTATGAAAAACACTTTGAAACATAAATTCCAATCCTGGAGTGGTGGTGCACGCCTGTAATCCCAGCTCTCGGGAGGCTGAGGCAGGAGGATCATTGTGAGTTTGAGACCAGCCTGGGCTACAAAGTGAGCTCAAACCCAGCCTGAACTGCATAGTAAGACCCTGCCTCAAAAAAAAGACCCCCCCCCAAAAATAACCACATAAATTCCGAACGTAAGATCAGAAATGGGCCAGAAAAAACCCAGGAATAAATGAAAATTGGATGAACTAAGGGCAGAAATAGAATAAAATAGTAGATCGCATGTATTTATTTGTTCTTAGAAATACAGACTGCATTATGAGATGTCCAGAGCAGAAGAGATTTGAATGACAGTCTGATAAGGGTCAATGAGGAGAGGCGGGTGAACAAGGAAGAAAAGCTTTATGATGGAAAGAAGCAAGTAGCAAAGGTCAGAGAGAAAGAGGAGAGGGGGAAGAAAGTCAAGGAGAAGCCACCGGATGAACCACTGGAGTCCATGAAGAAAGAAAGCAAGGCCGTGAAACAGAATGGATATTGAAGACGATACACCATGCCTCTGACAGATGGTGCTGGCTGTATGGGCTGTCCACATGCAGAAGATTAAATCTAAACCCATATATCTCACCTGATACTGAACTAAAATAAAAATGAATCAAAGATTTAACTCTTGAACTTGAGTCCTTTAACCTGCTGAGAGATGACTAAGTAGAATGATTGAAGACATGGGCATACTGAAGGGCTTTCTGCACAGAAGTCCAGTTGCATAAGAAATAACATCAAGAATCAACAAATTGGATCATATCAGATTTAAATGTTTCTGCACAGCAAAGGAAATAATAGCAGAGTGAAAAGACAACATACAGAATGGGAAAAATTTTGCCACCTAGTCCACAAACAGAGGACTATACCCAGAATGCATAAAAAAAAAAAAAGAGTAATTAGATCCTGTCCCCAAAAGACCAAATCAAATAATGGGCAACTGAAATGAACGTACGTTTCTCCGAAGAAGTATAGATGGCATATAAATACATGAAAAAATGTTTAACAACTCTGGCCATTAGACAAATGCAAATTAAAACAACACTGAGATTCCAAAGGAGTGGCTAGCATCAAGAAATCAAATAGTAACAAATGCTGGTGAGGCTGCATTTATTGTTGGTGGGAATGTAAGTTAATACAACCGCTACGGAAACCAGTGTGAAGGTTTCTCAAAAAACTAAGACTGGAAATTCCACTCAGCCCACCTATTCCTTTCTTGGGTGTCTTCCTGAGATGGTGAAGAGGAGTCATATTATAGTGAAACGTGTGCCCATGTTTATAACAGCACAATTCACAATGGCTAACTCTTGGAAGCAGCCTATATGTCCATCAGCAGACGAATAGATTAAGAAAATGTGGCATGTCTGTACAGTGGGGTACCCATCTGCCATAAAGGATAAACTTGTGTCATTTGTAGGAAAATGGATGCATCTTGAGACCATAATCTTAAGTGAAATAAATCAGACACACAAGCTTAAATATCTCATGGTTTCCCGTATATGAGAAACCCAAAATACAAATAAAGAGCAGAATAAAAGATAGATCACAGGAAGTGGGGAGAAAGATCTTTTGCAAATGGGAGGAGTGCAAAGAATGGAGGGAGGGGAGCAGGAAGGGAAGGAAGAGGGATGAGAAGGAATTAAGATGTGTTATGTACGTGAATCAGCTCCTCACAGGGAATGTGATCATTATGTACTACAAAAAGTAAAGGATAAAAATTGAAAAAAAAAATACAACCCAAGGAAAATTCTGGAAAGTAGAGTCTGAATTTGTAGAGTGAAATGGTAACCTCTGAGACATAGACTAATAAAACTGTTATACATAATGTATATTCAGAGAAAGTGGCCAGGGGCTGAGAGATGGGTCATGACAGAAAACGAGGGGAAAAGGAAAGGATATCTATGCCAGCTTTTTTGTCACCAAGCACAGTACCCCACATCCAACACTGAAGTAGGAGGAGAGGTTTCGT